CGGTATCGATCGAGCAGAGCCATTCGCCGTCTTGTGCACTTTGCAAGCGATTGCGCAATCGCTTGCCAATCGCTCGACCGAGAGCGATTGGCAAGCGACGGACAAGCGATGGAGCGATCGCGATCGCTCCATCGCTTGGTCCGTCGCCGACTATGACGTCGGTCTAAGCTTTCAGCCATATAAGTACCCATGTTAACACGTTGACGACCGCCGTTGTGCGCGTACTGCTTCAACATTTTTCGTATTCTCTCATCAATAGGCATTAATCCTTCAGCGTTTTCATTATCAGTAATGAAAAATTGTTTTTTCGGATCCAATAATGTACATGGACCGTTGTGGAACAGGAAAAAACGCCAAATAAATTAAGGAAAACTAGTCTGCGGCATGTGAAAGTGTGGTATGACACAACACGGTCGTCAACGTGTTAAGGGGCTTGCCGTTAACGACGCTCCTTTCTGGGCCGAGGCGTCACATAGTGCCTGCTTGGATGCTTCAACCAAGCAACCCATGACTATCCGGATCATCATGATCGCTTCCTTCAACCACTTGACTTCTGTTTAACAAGTGAACGTTGAGACGAAACGAGCATATGGCAATCATTCCGGGAAACGGGCTGGTAATTATATGTACTGACCTAACTCTTATTTGGAAGTGCTCTGAATTGTCCATGTCCATGAGTCCAAAGTCCATGAAAACAATTAAACATCATACCTGACTCATCGTAGAGGACACGCCTTTCTTTGTCGGAAAGTATGGCGTAAGCTCTTGTAATTATCTGGAACTTTGCGGTAGCATCCTTTGCAGCGTCCTCAGCAGAGTCAGCTTTGTCGGGGTGCCATTTCATGGACTGCTTATAGTAGGCTTTCTTGACTATAAACAACAACATGAGTGCCGAAAGGCATCAATGGCTTGAAAAAAAAACTCACTTTGGGATACTGTCGCAGTTCTTTCAACGCGGAGGATCTCATACAAGTCTTCAGTGTTGAAGTATTGCTTACAATCACTCAGCAGCATTGTTCGCCAACCAAGTAGGCTTAAAAAACGATGCAGGAGTATACCAGGGGCTTTAGGTATGCTCTCCCAAAAGCTCTCGGGGAAAAGCCACACCCAGCGATTCTTGGTATGTCTCTCCGATTGCATGTCAATCAGAAAGATGTCCCCGGGAAGGTGAGTGTAGCCTTTCTCAGAGACTTTCGGGGAGAGCATACCTTACCAGGATGGGGTCCCTCTCCTGTTCGGGGGAGCATACCTTACGGCCCCAAGTGTGAAACTCACAAAACAGGAGAACCCCTTAAGAGCCTAATCCAATAAGGAGGGAAGGGCGCGTGGTTTGACATTTGATGCCGCCTACAGAAATCCCTACTTTTGCAGTAGAGTAAATCCCCGGCGTGCATAGGCCATTTTGCTTCCGCTTTTGCACCCAACTTTGGAGCTGCCTTCCCCCACGAAGAATAGGGTCAGTAGAAAAGCGCCCCATCGTCGTCAGGACTTTATGGAGTAGGGTTTTCGATGATGGATAGCACGATCGATATGCCCAAGAAGAAGGGAACATGGCGCAACGTGATTACACGGAGGCGGTGAAACTGTTTTGGGGTCACGAAAACGCTCAGCTTTAGGACCAAGACTTAGAAGAGAAGGGGACTCCGAGGAGAGATGGTTAAGTAATTTCTATCCTCTCCAAAGTTGGGGTCCCCTCCCAAATTGCGCGAGGAACATAAATGACATAACCACAGACGCAGAGACTTATTTAGGCCATTCACCTCACAAACAAAGTAATTTATACAATCGAAGGCAAGGCTACGAGCTACACTAAATACTGACAACC